CGGGACGTTATGGTCCGGGTTACATCATGATACAAATCAGGCCAGAGGGTATCAAACAACAGCCGCGGACGCGATGTGGCACAATTTAGTGTACAGGGACCAGGGCTACGGCTACAGCTGATACAAGCCAGCCCATCAGTGGTGGATTACTAGCTAAGACCACTGGAGCAGTGGACAGAGAATTGGTCAGGTTTTAAGACACAGTTCAGGGAGCGGAGAGAAAAAGGAACAACCAAGGCCACAGGAAAACAAAACTCAAGAAAAGCATTGCATCAGAGGCTCCAGAATAATGACAAGAAGCAGCTAAGGCCATAGAAAAGCACAACTCAAGACGTGGTATCCGAGGCCTCGGAGCCATGCAACTCCCGACACCGGGGGGAGGGGGGGGGGGGAGCAGCGTACTGTGACGTCCACTGTGATGTAGCCGGAGCATTGGCAAACCAACTCCACAACAAAACTCGATTCAAAGGTCACGCAAGTCAGGGAGCTACAGAACGTAATCGACATGTCAGGATTAAAGAGCGACGGTGAGGTGTGCCCAGCGCGCGTACCGCCCCACGAAAATGGACGGGCGGCAAAGACCGCACCAGTTCTTCGAAACGGCCGGTCAGCCGGTCCATATCAGCTGCGGCCAGACGGGTGACGCCACAGCAAACCACGTCTGGTGCCAACGGTTTCAGAGCTGCGGCGATTTCCACCGCACCCGACTAACGTGGATGTCCCTCGAGGCGTCGAGACAAAGATAATGCGTTGCCTGCTGAGCCTGAATGTATTGGATAACAACGCCACATGGCAGCAATGCCTGTGATGCCCGATTTGCCCGATTAGCTTACGTAACGTATGTTATTTACGATGCTCCTGAGAAGGGCGCGATTTGACACAATAGGAAAGGTCAATAAGCTCCATGATTTCAAATCATTAAGTTTTTGAGGAATGCAATTCAGTCCAGTTTAGAAGTTCAGTCCAATGTATTCGTTCCATCCAAAAATCCGCATCGATTCTCCTTCAGAGTTCCAAGTCAACCAACCTCAGCTATCTTTCTGGCAGTGACATTTCAAAATATTGACCCTTAAATTATCCCCCAGACGTGTAGCAACAGCCGCTCGGCCTCGGAGCCTGTTACTGACGAGGTCAGCCATGACATCAGCGGCTGATCATTCCAGGGTGACACCGCGCCGAGGGGACGCAGCGCCGAACCCACGACCGGCGTTCTCCGGGCTCGCGCCGCGCTACAGGATGCTCTCAGGCCTCCTGCCGCGATAGGCCAGAAAAGTCACCGCTACAATGGCGACAGCAGTCGCGTGCTCGCATAATGCAATCGTCCGACCAACTCTGAACCGAACTCGCCGCACCACGGTCGAGATCACTCCAGTTTCGGTGGCTCCAGCTGCTGCCCCGGACTTTGATGTCCGCTCGTAGGCGGCGCCACCATCGTGCGTCAACACACGGCCGCCGTTTTGGCCGAGTCCAGCGCCGGCAGAAATATGGCGGCAGACGGCGGGCCGACTTAAGTTACAGCCGACGAGTATCCTGGAAGCGTGCCATGCAGCTGGAATTCCAGGTCGTCCAGACACGGGAGGGCCGCAGCAGCGCTGGCGCCCAGTGAGCCGCCGTTCACAGGGGCAGCGATGCTCATGGAAACCGGCCCCCTACCAGCGCGGGCGGAGGTCTAAGGCCCCAGATGGGAATCGATCTTGGTCAGGCTGGGCAAAGCGAGCTCTGTGCACCTGCAATCGTGTTCCCAAACAGATCGCTACCGATTTGGGGATGTAAGCTTGAGCGCAGTAATCCAAGATTCAATACGGACCTGCTCACACCAGGCCAGTTGTCCGTCAGCTCGATCCAAGGCCTTCTCATTAAGGGAGTCGGCTAAGGTTGGTAGGGTGCCATGCTTGCATATCAAAATTGAAGTATGCTAACCAAGAATATCAAGCCGCCGACTCTCATAAGGATGTAGCCCTTGCTGAACTCATCGGTCCTGAGCCTATACCGGGAGAACCCTCAGGCTGCCCTGAAATGGACCACCCCCGCCCTACACCTTGGACACCACACCAGCACACCACTACTTCAGAAAACCCCGCGGCGTCGCGCCCTCCCCTCCGCGACCCAAGCGTGCTGACAGCCGCGAGCGGGCTCCGTCACCGTCACCACCGTCACCCCGTGACCTCGTGACCTCGGCCGGCGACCAGCCGTGACCGCGGATGGCCGCGGGTCAGCTGGCGTCTCGGATCACGTCGCTGTCAGCGCGCGTGGAGACCCGACCCCATCGTCTCAGCCCGCCGCGGCCCGTTGGGCGCCGGCGCTGCCCATCACATTCGGCGAGTGGTTGGCCCGCGCGCGGCCGCGCGCTCCTCAGGTGACCTGCTGCGCTAAATCGCACGCATAGCTGACGCATATTTACAAGTGGCTGCGGCCGCTGCGCAGTCGTCTGCGACTTTGACGGAGGGCGAGGCCGAGTTCTGGCGGCGGCACAGTAAACGGGCGCCGAGGGGCGGACCGATCTGTTTACGACTGTCGTCGGGTTCGTCGATTTCGGCGCCGACGCCGGCGGCGCTGCCAAGGTATTATTGCTCCGATACCGACTGATTTGACCATTATCTTTTCGTTTTGTCGGCACTTTCTGCGCCAGAGATTTGTCGAGCGACTGAAATCGCTGGAGGTGCGGCACGTTCTGTTCTGTTCCGTCCTCCACAGCTGCGGCTGTGACGAGCAGATGGCTAAATGTGCGCGCTACGTTGTTATGAAAAATGGGTCCCGGAAATCTAATAAGATGGCGTCGGCTTGGTTTATGACATGCTCGTTTGCCAGATGGCGACAAAGTTGATGGCCTGATTAGCTGATTCCGCTAGCAAGAGAAATAAGCCCAAATAAACGGCCTTTCCCTGAATGATATATATATATATATATATATATATATATATATATATATATATATATATATATATATATATATATATACATGTCATTCCGATTTTAAAATTTGGTACAAACCTTTGAATTGAATGGATTTCTAAGGATCAGAGTCCACGTTCACGTTCGTCAATGACAGCTCGCCCCCCTCCCCCCCTCCACCGTTTATCATCCGCCTGAAAATAGTAATGCGTTGGTAGCACCACAAGACTTGGGCATGAGTTCACAAACAGATCCACTGTGAGTTCAGGAAGCTCTTGGTCGTGGAAACGCGAATACAATAGGGTTGGAAATATGGAGGGTAGAAACTGGAGGTTCATTAGTGAAAATATCTGTGTGTCCTTAGAATCAGCGCCGCCTTAGGTGTCATCCTCCCGCACATTGAATGATCACTCATGGCTCTAAGCCGTTTGCAGGGAATATTACAACCGCCCAATGTTGACTTTCTTCAAAATTAAACTTGTCCTGAAGGTTTTCCGTAGTATGCACACAACCCTGGTGATGTCGATAATGAATAAGGATGCAAACCAGGGATGGTCAAGAGGTCTTGCCCTCCCACCCTCTCCCTTGTGCTAAGAGGTTTATACTAGACACCGAGCGATTACGCAGGAATAGGGTCAAAATTCGTAGGATTTTGGAGGCAAGATGAAGAGCGCTTACCTCCCTTCCCCCCTCCCCTCCCTGAGAAGCATTTTACCAGATACCGGGATATTTGGCAGCGATTGAGCCGAAATTCGCAGGATTTTGAAGACAGCATGAGGATTGCGTCTTCGCCCCCCCCCCCCCCCCCCACCGCTGATTTTGGCTATGTGCCTGATAGCGAACATTTGACCCTCGCAATTTTGGGCCAGCGGAGGCCGGGCGTGAGTCGCGTGTAACAGGTGGTCACCAAATGTTCCAGCCACCTCTGCCAACAAACTGCCGACAACATTCCCAAACAATTAGTTTGCACCTCTGATGGACTGCATAGCTGCTGTTGTTTAGAAAGCTCTTCATCCATGCTGTGATGTTACTGGCATGTGGTTCATTGTTCCAAGTGGTCTCTTCGGCGAGCGAGACCTATGAACGGCCCGCCATGGCTAGAATGCAGCGGTTTGCCCGAGGATGGGCCCGCTCCGTTGGAACGCTGGCAGAGGCGGGCGCACTGTCCTGAAGACAGCCACGTCACGCGCGCAGCTGAAGCCCGGACGCGCGACGCTCCACGCCGGGGTAGAGCGGCGACACGGGGACTGGGACGTCCCGCAGCGTCCGACACGGGGACTGGGACGTCCCGCGGCGTCCGACACGGGGACTGGGACGTCCCGCGGCTTCCTACACGGGGACTGGGACGTCCCGCGGCGTCCGACACGGGGACTGGGACGTCCCACGGCTTCCGAGACGGGGACTGGGACGTCCCACGGCTTCCGACACGGGGACTGGGAGGGACCGGGACACACCAGTTAACTGAGGAGCAGGGATATTGCGGGACTCCCGAAAAGGGACTGGTAGTGACTGAAACAGACCAGTGTCCCGAGGAACAGGGACATCACGGGACTCTTGACACGGGACTGGAAGTGACCGAGAGACAGACCAGCGTTTCAAGAAACAACACACCACTAGAGCTCATGACGTTCTCACAGCAGCTGGTGTCAGTCCGGACCCCTTCATCGCATACGGACTCATCCCCGCTCAGAGGTCTCTTGTCCTGACCGCGATACACTGTACGCATTGCCGCCAATGGTTGTTGACGGCGGTAGTGCACACCACGGCAGGACATCGGTGCCAGCTGCAAGGGCCCCTTCAGATTGGTGCGGTTCACCGGCTGCGCAACCATTCCCAGCGGCTGACCACACCACAACCACCGGCAGCAGGCCAGGCTGCATGGCTCCAGGCGTCAGTCCGCGGCCAGCGGTCCCGGCAGCCGTCAGCAAGACCTGACGACCAGACGGGACAGCACGACATCCCTTCGACGGCACGTTTCCTTTCCCGCTCTGCCGTCCGCGCAACCGCACGCGGCGACCGAAGTCAGCAGGGCACGGGGTCACGTACACAAGAGGTGCGCGTGCCGCCCGCCGGACGAGCGTCGCAGGACCCGTGCGCCGTCCACTCACCGGAGAGTAGGCGGTGGGCGTGGAGTAGGAGGTGGTGGTGTAGCCGCCGCCGCGCGGCGAGATGGTCTCGCGCGTGACCTTGTAGCTGTAGCTGGACATGGTGCTGGTTTGGGCTGGTCCTGCGAGCTGCGAGCACCCTCACCTCCGGAGCGAAGTCGTCGGACTGCCCGCGGCCGCAGCCCGCTCCGCCTCCAAGAATAGCCGGCGGCTGTTCGCGGGGGCGGGGCCCGGGTCGCGCCAGCGGACCTCCCACCCCAGCCAGGCTCCTGCACGGCCCCTGAAGCTGTGAGTCAACGTTCTCAGTAAGGCGCGCTGACAGCATGGCCAGCAGAACATTCTGGGGGCTCGGCATTCGGGTGGGAGGGACGTCCAGAAGCCGCGCGGAGGAGGCTCCCGTCCAGCAGCGAGCGGCACGGAGGAGGCTCCCGTCCAGCAGCGGGACGGAGGAGGCTCCCCGGCCAGCAGCGGCGCGGAGGAGGCTCCCCGGCCAGTAGCGGCACGGAGGAGGCTCCCCGGCCAGCAGCGGCACGGAGGAGGCTCCCCAGCCAGCAGCGGCGCGGAGGAGGCTCCCCGGCCAGCAGCGGCGCGGAGGAGGCTCCCTGACGCGCTTTCGCGGCTGGTGTTACCGGTCTTACGCCAGCTGATACATGGCCACATGTCCGTACGCGCGACGACGGACCAACAGCGGTGGAACGACAGCGATCGACCTGACGGCGTAAAACAGCATGAACGAACTAGTCAAAACAACAGCAGCGGTATAAAGCCGACAGGGCACCGGCGGCACGCTGGCAGTAATAGAACAAATTTCCACCGGTGGCACAAAAAGAATGTAAAAAGGAGTCACGTCGCGACAGTGACAGATGCTGCCCGCGCGAGCAGCCAGACACTCCAAAAAATTCGCACGGCGCCCTCAGTGTCATGTCACGTCGGCCACACTCTGTCAAGGTGGCTCCAACTGGCCACACTCTGTCAAGGTGGCTCCAACTGGTCACACTCTGTCAAGGTGGCTCCAACTGGTCCACACTCTGTCAAGGTGGCTCCAACTGGCCACACTCTGTCAAGGCGGTTCTAACTGGCCACACTCTGTCAAGGTGGCTCCAACTGGCCACACTCTGTCAAGGTGGCTCCAACTGGCCACACTCTGTCAAGGTGGCTCCAACTGGCCACACTCTGTTAAGGTAGCTCCAACTAGCTACACTCTGTCAAGGCGGTTCTAACTGGCCACACTCTGTCAAGGTGGCTCCAACTGACCACACTCTGTCAAGGTGGCTCCAACTGGCTGATGTCGTGCGAGGCTTTCAGCGTTCGCGGCCGACGCCGGTATGTTGACGTGCTGACAACAGCCAGTGCACAAGCTCGTCAGCTAACTCAGCTTTTCTTTAAATTTAGACGAGTGATGTGTCAGACCAAGTTGTGGGTCAGCGGTCTCAGCTCACTTTAAGGACGAAAGTGAGTAAAACACATTAATTTACAATATGTCTGATCGCTTCAGTTTGAATATTCCCGACAATGAACTACATTTGACAGGCTGTGGCATATATCATGCACTTATGAGCACCAATGGCCTAGTTTGACGGAACGTTTCCGATAGTTGCAACTAGTACTGTGCGTTTTTCTAGAATAACAGAGCTACCCAAGACAACAGATGATACTTACAATCTTGCATGTTTGACCCAGACCTTTTACGACGACCTTTGCAACAATGTTACTTTCACGAGCGGTGCCAAAGCAAGGAAACCTGGATCGACCAAATGAAAGCACTTGATAGTCATTCCGTTTGACTTTTGTGCAATACCGTCGAGAGCGAGCCAGACGGTTATCTTTGTGGTCTGATGTACCAGTCTAACGGCATCGACGCCAACCCCGACGCGCCTCGCCGATTAGGATGCGTCAATTACAGGTGCCGGCACACGTTGGGGTCGCGTGTAAACGCCTCCTCCCACCACTAAGCAACCTGAAACGCAAGCGATTTAGAAGCAGGTAGTTTGGTTAGACAGAGCGCCCCAAGCCCATGATCTATTCTTATTTGCTGACGCAGGCCCCGGTTCGGTGTCTAAACAATTCTAAACAGTCTAAATGTGGCTACGTTTGCTGGATGAGCAACACAGATTCATCAAAGAAGAGGAAACTTCAGTTGTGCGGCCGTCGTTGCACCTGATCTAGCGCCTCCGAATGGCAGTCCCCATCCACGGGGAAAGCTGTTCTCCGTGAGGTGTGCGTGAGCCGCGCCGCGGATGGCGCCGCCACCCCCTACCGGCCGAAGCGCGAAACTCACCCGCCATTCCAGCGGACAGCTAACAGCGAACACAAGACGGAGCGGCCGGTTGTCGGAGTCGGGCGGCGGCGCCGGACAGGTGGCGCTACAATCGATCGGCTGCCGGCGGTACAATCGATCGGCTGCCCTCCCGCCGCTGGCGCGGCCCCAGCCCAACGCTTCGACCCTGCCGTCGCCCGTTCGTCCGTCAGAGGCGGCGGCGCCTGCTGCGGCGGACAGCGGCACGGCTGCGTTCAGCGCGCGGTGTCGGCCGTGCCAGGGCGTGCCCCGGGCGTTCTCGGGCGCCTCGTCGCCGACCTCACCAGCACCTGCACAGCCGGGGTGAGAACTCTGTGCCATCGCCACCCGGCGAAGCTCTGACTGTGAGAGGACTCCAGCACCAGTCGACCGTCGATTCGGAGTTTGTACCGTCACGGCTCAGCCGGCCGCCGGCTCGGGAGCGCTCAGTCACGGTTAAATCCGTCACCGACTCGGATTGTGTTTCATTCCACAGCGCCCAGTCAGGCATGCACTCGCTGCGCGTGTGACACCAATCCGTCGTCAGCCAACGACCCAGAGCGTGCATCGGCTGCCCAGCAAGCCAGCCATTCGAGCGCCTCGACATAACCCAACCATCCATCAACTCGGAGTGTATTGAATGAGACGCGTCGGCGACAGGACGAACACGAGGCAGAGCACAGCGTCATCGACTCGGAGCGCGCCGAACGAGCCGCGCCGACACGGCGACGGACGCGAGCACGCGGCGCCTCGGCGCCTACGAGTGCTCCTTGCTGAAGTGCGCCACCTCCCAGTCGCCGTCCACCTCCAGATCGTCCTCGATCTTGATGCCGCCCGCCGTCAGCGTGGCGATCTGATACTTGGGATAGGCGCGGCAGTCGCGGTAAAAGCACACCGTCATGCACTGCACGAGCAGCTGGCGCGCCTCGGCCTCACTCATCGGCGGCTTGCCATCCATGCGCTCGCGCAGCAGCGGCGTCGCCAGGTGGGCCCCGAAGCCAGACGCCACTTGTGGCGCTGTGTACGCCGTGCCCAGCTTGTCGACGTAGCCGAGGAAGGGGCTGCCGGCCGCGTCCAGGCCGCCCACCACCAGCGTCGTCCAGAGCGGGTCAAAGCGCGAGCGCCGGTTGTACAGGACGCGCGTCAGCCAGCAGTGCAGCGAAGGCGCGCGCGTGGAAATGCCCTCCTCCAGGCACTCCTCGTCGATCATGCGCTGGTCGATGATGTCGCTGAGGAACTGGAAGTCGGCGTAGTCGCCGGTGCAGCCGAGGATGACGTGCTCGTTGACCTTGAGCAGGCGGCCAATGTCCTTGTAGCGCGCCAGCGATCCGTACGAGCCGAGCTTGTCGGCGGCGATCATGACGCCGCCGTCAAACTGCACGCCGATCACCGACGTGCCGGTGGTGACCGGCGCCTGGGGAGGACGGGCGTGGGTCAGAGCGGCTGCCCGCGCGGCACAGAGGGCTGACTCGAGTCACGATGGCAGAGGTAACGACGGCAGGGAGCAGGTCACGGCGAAGTGATGCGCGTTACAACAAGCCAGCACAAGCTGCCACGGCCTGACACGCATCTCTTCAGCCCGGCAGCCGTAATGCACGCTCGATGGCACCGGAGTCCCGGTAAAGGAGTGGCAAAGCTGCGCGTCTGGGAGACCAAACCCACGGGGTTCGGTTTCCTGCGGCGGCCGCCCTTCCTGACAGTGAGAGGCAGGCGACGCCACATAGCCGCAGCAGCTGAGGGCGTATCTGAGCCTCAATGGCATGCACACGGGCTCGACAGAGGACACAGATCCCCATATAGCCCGCACGGCGACATATCAGCATCTTCCAAGGTGGAACACAAGTGACATACACGCATATTGGAAGGTACAAGCATATAGCCTGTGCGCAAACCGCAACAAACCATATCGGGAATTTTCGACCCGTCGGACAATTACACCCTGCCAAGGCCTCTCTAACGTCTCGGCGCCCATTTCTCCCCGGAAGCCGGCCCCCCAGGTCCCTTAATTTCTTTACGTCAGTTAACAGCGCCACTGCGTTCGTCTTACTTATCATACACACGCACTAACAAATAAAAAACAATCACTTAACATAAACCTATAATCTGCTTTACGCTAACCTAGAAATGAGCATGTCAGTCATGGATACGCACAATCTTCGCAGCCCATAAATGAGATAAAAAAGAAGCACGTGACCACAGCTGCTCTGGATGACGCGGCTACCACGCATTGGTCACATGCGAACAACCAATGGATTCCAGACGGGACCGGAACTAGCACCAAACACAAAAACCATCCAATTACTGGAGCATCTTACGCGAACTACAGCGGCTCCAAACCATATCCATCCGCCCGCTCATAGCAGTAATCAGCAGCTAAAGAACCTTTCCAATCAGTTCAAAAATGGCCGGCACCAAAAACTCCTCCACCCGTCCTGTCTCTACTCGACGAGCTCGTCCGCTGCGGAGAGAGCAGAGCACGCTGAGCTGATCCTTTTTCACCCGCGAGGACGCACAGACCCTAAGCGGACCTCCCGTCCCAATCTCGCTCGGCATAACACGGTCTCCATCTGCCGCCGTGGCCGACTGAGCGGGCGGCGCAGGCGCACCTGAGAGCGAGTGATGGGCAGGCGCGGCTGGTGCGCCGGTCCTCTGTACCGGTACTGGGCCGGGTCGAACGGCTGCCTGGCCTGCGGCATCATATCCATGGCGGCGGCGGCGGCTGCGGAGCAGGGGAGACGACCAGGTCAGTGGCATGATACAACGTTCTACCCGGCCCGGCGCACCGGCGCGCCGTCCAGGCCCGAAGACGGTACATCGACGGCTGTGCTCCCCTTTCATCCGAACAACTGATCACACCACGCCTTCAGTGTTTTCTTGGTTTGATCACAGACACATCAGAAATCAAGGAAGATTTATAGACCTGCGAACATTGCACGATATCCATTTGCTCATCAGTCAGTTTAAGCCGACGCGGTAAACTGCACGACAAATCCGCCCCGCGCCGCATATTACGACCCATCACCAACAGCCACGGACCTGTCAGCGCCCGCCTACATAAGCCGTTCAGACCGGGGCGAATCGCGAATACATGTGGCTCTGATGCCAACTGCTGACACGCATGTAACGGGCGCGGGTGTTCTCCCAGCTCCCAGGACATTCTTCACGTGGAACGGCGCGCAGGCAGGCGCCCAGAGGCGTGCTCTCATCACTCGAGGATTTGCACGTGGCTGTATGCCGGCCGTTGACGGTCAGGCTGACTGACGTGCCTTCACGGCAGCAGTGTCACGGGCGGGTGTTCGGCGGCGGCGCACATGGTCCGCGAGCGCGTCACGGTCCTGGCCGAGCGCCCGGGGCCCGGCGCTGCCTATCTATAGCCCGGCCCTCCGTCATTCGTCGATACGAGCCGACGGGGGTGGGAGCGCCGGCGGCGGGGGCGGCCGGCGGGTCACGCCCGCCAATAACACCCGCGGCGGGAGCGGGGCCGTATGACGCCGGTCCATCGGCAGCGGCGGTCCCTGGGGCAGCTGGATGGGCCAGGAGCTGTCCGTCGGTGCTGATCTGTCGTGGCCCCGGGGAGCCGAGGCGGCGCGCCCCCGCAGGTGGAGGGGGAAGGGCAACCCTTTACTGCAGCCTGGAGAGCTGGGTCACTCGCGGTGGAGGACGGGGGTCCGGCCGGGAGGGGGCAGCGATCAGCGTATCTTATGCGTGCATTGGATCAGTAGAACGATTTGAAGGTTTGGGAGAATCTCCGCATCACGCTATGGCATACAACGCACGTTCCGGTAATGTCCGTGACTATGGAGACGTGAACACTGCTCTAATGAGCGGCGCTCAAACTCTGCCCATCAGAGAGCAGCGGGCCGCCGACGCGCCGCTGGCGAACAGTTCAAAGCCACTGTCCGCTGCGTAGTCCAGCCAGAGCTCTCCCCCCCCCCCCCCCCTCTCTCCCTCTGGCGGCTCTTCTGGCCGCGACAGCAGCACTTACGGCGTGAGTCGCTGACAAGAAGACCCGGGCTGACGTCATCACGGCGTCATACCGTCGCCGTGGCCCGTCCGGACGACCGGCAGCAACATCCCGCTGTCGCTCCAGGAAAGGCCGGCTCACCCGCTCACGGTCGATGTCCCGTGCCGATGAGGTACGGAGCGCCATCTCGCGTAACGTGCGGCAGAGACGGGGAGGCGGCCGCGGAGGGGATGGACAAGGGGGGGGGGGGGAGGCGCTGGCGACGTACGGCGCGTCACGCAGAGTGACCACGAGTCGCCCGCTGGCCGACCGTGACCGTGAGGAAGAGCGTTGATCGATGGAGCATCGATTGACGGACGCAACAAATAAGGCTGTTAGCGCCGTCACGCTTGGAGCAGCTCGGGTTGGGGAATGTTTGCCGAAGATATACCGAAAAAGTGGGCTGAAATCGCACCCTATCAGCCTTTCACAACCGGACGTAGCCGTTAGACCCATGCTAGGTCTAACCGGACCCAGGCTTAGTCGGCCCGGGGTGGATTCAACACCGCGGTCACGGTACACTGCTGGCCACGCCCCGACGTCGAAGTCAGGCGTAAAGGGTTGTGATTCTGCTGAAATCACTCCATTTTACAGGCACCAGGGATAGGTCTAAAAGTAACCAGACCAAGGACGCATAGACCGCGAGATAAACGCTGGGCAGAGGACTCCCCAAACCTCGGTAAAACGCTCAACACTGCTACCTGCCATACAAATTTGCCGTTCATCTCACGTCGTTGCATCACAGTAGATATAAAAAGGTTATTCATCCCTCTTCTCCATTCCGCACTCCTTGTGAGCTACTGACCCAGTAATTCAGACGCAAAGACAAGGTTAAAAATATCAAGCCTTTGCTTAACACTGACGCAGAATGTTCACTATATATTTCCAAACAGCGAACAGTGTTCGTTATAATATTTGATGAACTCGCCCTTAAGCAATGGAACGATAACATCATTTAATGCTACAGACACCGCCTGGCCTGACTGACCACCACTGTGAGCTGTAGTAAGCTTTGATTGCCCGTGAGATGTCGTGGGCTTTGATTGCCACAGTGAGCCGCAGTGAGCTCTGATTTTCACAGTGGGCTGCAGTGAGCTCTGATTACCACAGTGAGTTACAGTGAGCTGAGCTGCAGTGAGCTCTGATTGCCAGTGAGCCGCGGTGAGCTCTGATTACCACAGTAGGTTACAGTGAGCTCTGATTGCCAGTGAGCTGCAGTGATTACCACAATAGGTTACCGTGAGCTCTGATTGCCATAGTGAGATGCAGTGAGCTCTGACTACCACAGTGAGTTACAGTGAGCTCTGATTGTCACAGTGAGTTAAAGTGAGCTCTGACTACCACAGTAGGTTACAGTGAGCTCTGGTTGCCATAGTGAGATGCAGTGAGCTCTGACTACCACAGTGAGTTACAGTGAGCTCGGATTGCCACAGTGAGTTACTGTAAGCTCTGATTGCCACAGTGAGCTGCCGACCTCAGTTCCGGCGCAAAGACATGTCCCTGGACCAACATCACGGCACCACATCAGTTGGTAAACCGTCACAACGCGGTTTACCTGGCATACAATGCCGAACTACAGAGCCATCACCAGCGAGCAGAGCACCGTACGGCACGACGCTATCCGCGCCGCAAACGTGGGCTCCTCAATACAAGGCACAATTGCAGCCTGGTGGGGTATCAAGTGGCAAACGTGGGATCCTCAATACAAGGTACAACTGTAGCCTGGTGAGGTATCAAGTGGCAGAAGCTGGGCGCATCAGACGGATATACCGAGTGGGGAGAGGGCACATCCACGTGTCACGGGATGCGTCCCAGCTAAATGTGCCAACTCTAACGCAAACGGTTCCGACTGGAAAATCACATTGCGATCTAAGGTAAAAATAAGGTGTCTCGCACGCCTAGTATCCATCCGGCTCGTGCGTCTGGTGCCACAAAATATATCCGTTTTGGTCCCAAATTCCGCCCGAGACAAATCATTATGTGAACCACGTTTGAGAAATCCGCTCAAGATAACGCCTCTGTGACCAGAAATATTTCCCTTTATCACATCCTGATTCCAATAGTCATTTGCCGCTCCTAAATGGTGAATTCAGCTAATGGATGAATGGCCCTGTCTCCATGCATATTTAAGCCAACAAACGCACCGAACTGACTGTTTCCAATTCTATCACGGTGGCACTATCTGTAAATCCACGCCCCGTAGAAATATTTACAACTAGACTTCACTGTCCACGTTTCCCAAAGTCGACTTAACTATCCACGGTTCCAGAAATTGACTTCACTGTCCACAGTTCCCAAATTCGACTTGGCTGCCCAAGATTCCTTAATCCGTTTAAAATAATTACACTAACTGTCTTGTCTTTGTCACCAACTAGACTCTTCTCTTACGCAGGGAGGAGTACAAAAAAAACTCAGTACACCGTGCAACTAGGTCAATCTACTGACATTCCTAAGATGTTGAAAAAGTTCATCTTTAAAAGGTCAAAAATCTGCCACGGGATCCGCAGGTACCTACATAAACACATACGTCGGCCTAATGTATTTGCTGTTATGTTCATCAAACCCTAGAGTCCCGACACTTCTCCCGGCGCAGGGCACAGATTCTCCCTCAGTGATATTTTGCTTGCCGCTAAGAAGTCGCTCGTCGCAGTGCCACGACATTTGGTGACTTTTCATCGAACTCATATGCACGTGCTGTGTCATACTCTCATAGACCTCGCTCACGCAGGGGTGGGAATGCCTCCGTTGTACTTTGGGGTAAATTAAGGCTGAAAACTCCAAATATACAGCCGTTAAAATGCCCCATGTTGGATATACAACTTAAATATTCAACAGGGGGGCGCTTGAGAACTAAAATAGGAGAGCCAAGTTGTGGGTTAAAGAAGAAAAGTGACTCTAGTGATGCCTGTTCCATAGTCGTTGCCTAGATCAGCTGATGTGCAATGTTTTAAACATCACAGATAATAGGCAAACAGCATATCCAAGTTTATGTCATGGGAAATAAACCACAACGGCGCGCGTCTCTGATCTAAAATCATCGTCGCTTTTTGTCCTACTGGACCAGCCAAGAATTGTATTTCGATTTCCTTCTTTCGATACATAAAAGACCCGCACTTTCGGAGAGGAACCATGTTCGTCAGATGAAATCTGTTCATCAAGTCTGGACAATGTCCCTAAAAAAAAACAACCAAAGTTGCTGATATTTTTCCCTGATACTTCACGCTCAACAGTCCATATTTTGTGTGGGTTTAGTAGTCAAGATCTGGCTGAAACGATTCGAATGACGTTTAATCAATTAAAAGCAGCCGCACGGTCCTAGAGGACTTGGAGGGAAAGGGGGGGGGGGGCACAATCTTCCCCGCCCCCAAGGTTAACGTAAATCTCAGAGCCCGCTGGGAATGTGGTTCACGCTTCACTTCAAGTACACGCTGTGCACACTGAACTCATTCCTTCGAACGTGCCGGCCCGTTAAGCACCGCATTTACGCTCCACGGTGAACGAGGCATTACGACATTACCGTTAGGTTGCAGACGCTTCGGCGATCCCCAACTGGTGTAAACCATCATTGGTCAGTTCCTGCTCTCGAAGGCAATTTATCCAACAGGTGAACGGCCAACGGCCCACCAATGACGTACGCGCGTGTTCTCACGTTGTCACGGTACGAGGCCACGCAGCAGCCAATCACAGGTCGAAACCAGGGACGTAATCGTCTACGACCTACTCTTAGAAAAGCGCACTTCTGCCACTCTGAGGGTGGTCATCTGTAAGCGTTGCCGGGGACGGCGCACTGGGTACATCTGCAATTGACTACGACGCGGCCGGTCCGTGGACGTGATTGCAGACAATGTTGGTGCATGCAACAGGTCGCATTGTCATTCGTTTCGGTAGTACGGTCGTGATATGGACTTTATATGAGTTTGGGCAGCAGGCGCAGTCACTGATCAGGCATTTCAACTTGTACATATTGTTGGCCATTTTCAGCAGTGAGTTAATTGTAGACAAATCGTTTTTCATTATTAAATACTGATAAATTGAGTGTGTCAGGAGCTGTCTACATGAGAAACCAGGGACATGAGCTGAGGGGGGGGGGGGAACAGAACTGAGTGAAGAATATCCCTGTGTTTGTCCCCAGCACCACATGACCACTAACACTGTGCATGACAGCAGCTTGTTCATAAAAGTCAAATGGCCCATTTTGAGTACAGAAAATGTACAAATGTAATTTTCAACCGACATGACCATGCCTGTCTTGCATATTGTTGGCATGTGTAGCAGTGCCTATGTTGCCGGGCTTAGTGTGCCATAATAAATGATATGTTCTGCCCTGCCTTTTGACCTCATGTGACCTTGATCAGCCTATGTTACTGGCTGCAGGCCACCCAAGTCAGGAGCAAATATTGCAGGTGAGCAGTGACCCAAATGCCCATTCTACCATGACTGAGTTGTGAGGCAAAAACTTTGTGATATGACAAACAAACAAACACAAGAAGCAGTGATATGACAAATGACATAAGGTGAATTTAATAATAAAGCAGCTCACACCAGTTCCTGGCACTGTACAATGCATGAATAGCAAAATGTTAATACATGACAGTTGCTGATGAAACTGCTCTTCATGAAATCATGTAGGTCAATCATAAACCAGTTGGTGAATGGTTCTAAAAATGCCTCAAAATAAATATGGTGCTAAGGGTCTTGTTTTCCATTACATTTTCATTTCCAGTAACTATAGCTTGTATGATATTTGGCTTTGCCCTAGCCTCTAAATCTCATCTTCATATGTGTGATGTGAATTCTGAGTATTTGTGATTAAGATGTAAGCTTGGCTCTGCAGTTGCCTAAAATTGTAGATACACATTATGTATAGCTGGACTGAAAGCATGTGTGGCAGCAGTAACTGTAACACACATGAAATAACTTTTACACCAAAATGAGATGGGTGTGCCTTCAGCAGCAGTCTTAAGGGGCAGATGATAAGCAACAATGCTCAAGTAGACCACATAAATAGCAAAATTTAACCATACTGCATCCTCATCCAGACACCCAGCTGGGCACAAATAATGGAACAAACATTTCCTTCAACACTTAGAAGAAAATTATTTTGAGAGGTCCATCATGCTTTGAACACAGGCTGATGACATGCTTCAAGTGAATTATAACCCTTGGCTAATAAGGACATAACTTAAATTTCAGAGAGTCACATAGTTTTTGAAAAGTGTAGAAAGACAGCTTCTGGCCTGAATGCTCCATTCAGCTCTGAGCAGTGTGTGCATACTATGTCCTTAGAATCATGAAATGTGCAGTCCAGTCCAAAAAAAGATCCACTGCACTGGATACTCATGTGGCATTGGTGAGGGAAACCTGGAATTTCCATGCACCTAACTAATGCTAGGCTAAATTATCCTGCCAAAGTATGCTAAATTTTCAAGTTATTTTGGCTTCATAAATGTTTCAGGAGTATTTTTAAGAAAAGGCTCCTATGCAGCATCATAACTGACCACCACACTCTTGAGTTTGGAAATATAGCTTGCATGGGCTGAAATCATTGCTGTAGTATTGTTGCTAACTGGGATGTTTTTTTCAAATATTGTGGCAGCAATTTTACAGGATGCAGGTTGCAAATCTCAATGCTCAGAAGTTGGATGACCAGTGGACACTAATTTCAGGACAGATAGTGAATGTTTTGTGTAATTGATAAGTGGTGCAGGCTCTTTCAGCCAAAGCATACCTTAATATCTTTTTCACCAAAAGAGATGAGTAGATTTAAAGTAACTTGGCCCGATCTGAGTTTCATGCAAACGAGCGTGACATTCTTTTCCCCGATGCTGCATACACATGTGGTGCAGTGGGCAATTACTTGCAGACTGGGAATATTGTCCAAAACGTATAGATTAAGCTCAGTCACGTTCAAATAACTTAAAAAAGACAGCATCCTTAAGTCATAAAATCTCTCAAAATCACACAATGAACGCACGAGAAACAAAAATGCACGAGCCATCACAAAGCCACGCCGCCCGTGATCTAGTGGGCAAAAGCAGTACACGCGGCTTTAATTTGTTACAACGTTTAACATTACCGTTCAAACATCAGAACACTTGTCAGAAAAGACTCACGGATATATTCTCTCCACTAACCTGGAGTAGATCGGCCCGTAATATATCAACGTTTATCACACAGCCCAAACTGTCACCAACGAACAACGCAAGTCATCCTGAATACAAGGTGTGCGCCACTTTCGTTTCATATGCGCCAGGTATTGCTCAGCTGATTCGGCAGTTGTGGCCACTAATCTAATGCTATCTGAAGTCAGTTCTAAGTCCAAACTCCACACTTTGAGATGATTTCGGATAACTTTTTCCTGATATAAAATTTTCATCATTTTGTCATAAATGACAACCTGCAATGGTAAGAAATCAGTCATAAAATGAATAAAAGCCGGTATATGCGCTGATATTCAGGCGCTTAAAAATCAGAAATCGCCCGGTAGCATTTGGGTGACATGTCACACGGAGCTCCCAATATTTTACTTTAAATTTGACCTCAGAGTGTAACTTTACGGGCCCAGATCTCAAAACAGGCGCAATATGATGTGCTTTGGATGATTCCGATGCTTAAAAATCCCATATAACGGCAGAAATGTGACGACAGGTAATTTTTGGATGATGTAGAGTCTCCGTCAATTCACTTTGAGCGGCGGCCTCTAGACGTCAGGACATTAGACCGATGTTATTTGATACGCTTGAGATGATTCTGACGCTTACAAATCCAGCATGGGGTGGAAGCTTTCGGGTTATATGGAGTTCTCGCTTATTTCACCTTTAAGTTTAACCTTGAATGGCAAACTTCAGAAGTCGGGGCTTTTGATGGACGTTAGCTTACAAACTGCAGACGATTCTAATGCTTGAAATTCTTGGTCAGGCTGAAATCAGCTTCGAAGTCAGCCTGAAACTTCCCTTAATATGGAGTTCCCGTTGTTCAAGCTTCAATTTGGCATTGAAGGCTCGTGTTATTGGCCCATTACCATCACATTCGGTACTTTTATGCCCTACTTGACCATTACTTCCCTCTTACATCAAAATCAGAGCGTGCTTTAAATTAAACTGCTAAAATCGCGGCTATTCCGATCGAGTCCACCGAACCCAACGATAAGTCATGCCCATTCTTCAGAAAGCTGCGAGGTTTCACCCATAGTTGTGATGACAATATTTTGTAGCTCCAGATACTTCTGATCGCTAAATAATATGAGCAATGCTCATTTATATTTCAATGTCCTCGTTTAGCGTCAGGTCTGGACGGTCTCTGACTTCCGGTGCGCAAAGCCCATCCCAATTAAAAGCAGGAAATTCGCATGACCTGCCAGCCTGTCGGATCGGGCACGGGGCAGACTCTATTTGACCATCATGCTTCAGGCGCAAGTCGCGCAGTTTAAACTCCGGGCATATAGGTCAAAGCTTCGGCATCTCACTGGGGAAAAAACTACTGATCGACGTAACCACCCCATTGTGTTGCGCATACACTCGCGTAGCGTTGGGATATAGCATGAATTCAAAATGTCATCTCACGACTGCCTGTCATCACCGAAACTTTTCGGCTGGAGACCTCCCAGCCAGTCCGGCAACACAAAATCCTCCCATAAACCGAAAATCATACTGAACGCCGCCGCAACCACCCTTTCTGTCCAGCATACAGCCATTTAGCCAAAGTCCAGACCCTGGATACTTTGTCTTTTGCACATGCTAAAACACAATGAAATATCTTAAAAACGTCACAACGTTCTCGACGCGAGCAAGGCACGCCAAAGTTTCGGTCGTCCCTTTCATCTTATCGCTTGAATAGAGATATCCCCTGGATGATGTGCCAATATATATATATATATATATATATATATATATATATATATATATATATATATATATATTCCCGTCTGCTTTTATTCCCTGGATGCTGAACAAAGAGAAGAGACACACGATTCTTTATTTGGCCAGTCATATTTACCTCGCCTGATTCCGACGCACCACGGCGAATGGGCAAATACAGAAGCAGAGGGTAGTCATACGAGCACTGCCGATGAACGCACGACTGCGCCTGTGCAATTGGTCATCTTATGCTCGCTTTGTCCGCACACGTGTTCAGCACGCATGTCTGCCCCTACAGGCCTGATAATTTGTATGTCTGTTTAGCGCACGCAAGCATGTCGCGATGTGTCTGCACCTTCTTTTGAGTGCGCATGGACTCGTGTACGTGTGGACACGTCCATTCGTGCACTGGCGTCTGCACATTCGTCTGGCACCACCCCGCCCGGAACTCAGCCTTGCATCTTATCTGTCTAACACTGACCATTGCCACCTGAAACCAGCCATCGCTGCCGGGAGCGTGCGCGAACACGACAAGCCTCACGGGCGGCTGCAGACCACAGCCCGCCGCTAATTTGGCACCGCCGACCCCGCCCGCGGGAGGGCGCCACCGCCGGCGGCGGTTCGGTGACTAGAGGCGACACGGGCGCAGCGCACGGGATCAGGAACTCACCTTCCAGCGTAACACCCTGGAGGACCCCAGTGACACAGCGCCGCCACTGGGGTCTCGAGAGGGGCCCTGCTCGCCCGTGCCACGGCCGCCCCGCCCCGCTCTGCGCCGTCCACGCGAGGCGATCAGCCGCGGGGGCGCGCGGCCGCTGGGTGCCGTCTGGGAGGCAGTCGCTTAGACTGAGTTAGAATCGAGTTCAGAAGCGAAGCCAGAGAAATCGTTGCTGTCACGTGCATCATGATCCAGTCGGCAGGCCCAACATAATGCTCGCAATTACAGAACGATTTGCGACGCCTTCCGTTATCACGTGCCGTCCAAATCGAGACCAATAGGACAATACTGGCGCACCCGAACCGATCACTATCACTCGCGAGCAGCACCGCGACTGCCACGGGACATCACCAGCCCACATCCGAGCACTCGATGTCCTCCAGCATATCCATATCCAACTCGTAGGACCCGATGCCGGAGTCCTCCCCGCATTCGCTGCCGCTGTCGCTGTCGGAATCGCTACTTCCCAGTGACGTCACGTGTGGCCAAGCGCGCGCTGTCGGCAGCAGACGCGTCTGCGCGGTCAGCAACGGAGACCCGAGTGAGCTGCTGGTCGCCAGGCGGGCGGCCAGCGCGCCGCTGGTCGGCGGCGGGGCGGCCCTAGCGCCCACCTTGACAGAACCTAGCAGCAGCCCCAGCACACGCTGATACAGCCGGCCAGCAGCGCCCTCAGACGAGGGCTGATCAAACTTGTGGTTTGCCGGCGCAGACAGAGATGGCACAGTACACCGGTCGGCTGTTGCTGGGACAGTCTTCAAACCGTGGCGTTCGGCGACCGGTGGAAGCTGCAGCCGCTCGGTGCTGACCGAGCGGGCCGTGGAAGCCCACGGCGAGCTGCTGGGAGCCTTAATTGGCTCCCACAGCTGGGAGAGCGGCCGCAAGCAGTTCTTGCTCCTTCCCAGTCTGCTCTTCCGAAGTGCCGCTGACTGCGACGGCTCACTCGCCGTCGACAAGGTGTTAGCGATCCACGCGGCCGGCAGCTCGTCGTTGATGTCATAGTACCACGTGGCCGAGGCGGGTCGGCGTGCCACCGGCGGGGGCCCGTACGCCGGTCGTTGCTGCTGCTGCTGCTGCTGCTGCTGCTGCTGCCAGCCTTGGCGGTTACGGAAGCTGCGGAGCAGCGAACGCGCCGCCTGGCGACAAGGCTCGGAAACGCTGCGCCGCAGGCTCGTCTGGTCGCTGGCGGCTTTTGGCGGTGAGGGCCACACTGGCGTGGTGCGGGGCGTGGGGGACGCGGCCCGGGTTGCCACAGTGGCAGCACCATCCCCTCCGGTCCCCCGCACAGCCTCCGTCCCCTCCTCAGCTCCGTTCGGCTCCTGGCAGCCGTCGCTGTCCAGCTCGGGCTCGGAGGGCGAGGCGCTGGAGCCGCCGTCGACAGGGCTGCGGCGTCGGGGCCGCCCCAGCCGCCGCTGGAACTGCTCGCTCTGCATCACTAGCTGCTGGACGATCGACTCGACCGACTGCAGGTCCTGGGCACGCTGCAGGCCCCGCGCCGGGCCCGTCTCGGCCGGCGGCGGCTCGACCGGCGGCGGCGGCGGCGGCGGCGGCGGCGGCAGTTGCTGCACGTCTGCGCTACCCTCGTCCGAACCTTCCTCGTCAAGGTCGGCCAGGACAGCTGCGGCCGGCGCCGCCTCGTGGTGCTCGCCCTCGACGATCTGCGCTGAGACAGGCGGCGGGACACGTGGCTCTGGACCGGCCGAGCCAGCTTCCGCGGACAGCTGGTCCTGAAACAAGCGGCAGTCTGTTGGCTGAGCGCGCCGGTTGATGGGATGAAATACGTTGGCTCTACGTTATACGTTGGTAGGAGGCGCTCCAACGGTTCCGGTAAGGATCGGCTGAGGTGCCGCTTTAGCCGGCCACCGTGTGCTAATGTGGCAGGCCACGAGGTAAGTCAGGTGCCGCTTTAGCCGGCCACCGAGTGTGCTAATGTGGCGGGCCACGAGATAAGTCAGGTGCCGCTTTAGCCGGCCACCGAGTGTGCTAATGTGGCGGGCCACGAGATAAGTCAGGTGCCGCTTTAGCCGGCCACCGAGCGTGCCCATTCCAAGTCGGGTAGAATGGCATTCATGGTACGTTGAACACAAGTGGAGGGAGTCTAGTCTAGGACCGGGAGATTCAGTACAACAGTAAGCTTTCACAAGCCTTCATTACCGATACTGAGTATCAAACACATCGTGGCAACGTCTGGCACAAACACTGCATCAAGCCACCAGCCGGCCTCCCCACCCACATCATCACCGCACGTACCCCGGCGCTGGCCGGCCGGCCATGCGTCTCCAGCTGTGGTTGCCGTCCCTGCGGCCGCGGCGGCGTGGCGTCGGTGCTGCGGCGGGCGGCGGCGGCGGCGGCGGCTCGCTTCGAGGTCCTGCGCCGCTGCAGGTAGTCAGGGACGGAGTGGTGTCGCCGCTGCTGTCGGATGATCTCGCCTGGACCACGGTGACGGAAGCACTCGTCAGGTGGGCGGCACCGACAGGCGCCGATGTCGCGCCACAACGGCTGCAGCACCAGCGGACTACGACCACACTCTGCGAGGAGCAGCGGCACGCTTTGGCACACACAGCACACATGTATACATGCATCGATGCAGCATATTGAACAGCGACCCGACATGAGTCGATGCACGCCATCCATGTAATTATGCACTGAATACGACGGAAGGCACTTAGTTTTTAGAACGTTGTCACGTACGTTCCCTTAGCGTCAGCGAATAGCGCAATCACAAGTCGTTTTATTGGTAGAGTCGGCTGGGCCCACTGGTCTTTTCAAACAATCTGTGAGCACCACGGCTCTCACCATTCTCCCGCCGCTGACCCAGCTTCATCACCAGCTCGCGCGCGTGCTTTGGGATGTCGTCCCCGTAGCTCTCCAAAATGGCGTTCTTCAGTCGGACGGCCCATTGACGCTTCTGCTCTACCGTCCGCGCCTGACGACAGATGGCGAAAGTGATGTCAGCTTCATGACTGTAGGTGACGCTAGTTTCCCATCTTCGGCCAGAGGCACGCCAGCGACGCGTGGCAGCACATCAAAGGCTATCTGCGTCACCAAATCCATGTGCAAATTGGAACTGGCAATATTTTTTCTACGGGGATCAAGGGAGGGACGCGCCGGGCAGGCGGGAGTAATTACCTGAAGCGTATATTGCTGTTTGGGGTCGTCGAATGGTAAAACTTGCAGGCTGCTAGGCTCGCCAGGAACACACTCTATCAGCATCAGGTTGGAACACTGAAATGCACAGACATGGCAAATAAAAGATCAACACGCTCGCATGTTACACGGCACCTATCCAAAAACAACGTCCGGGAAATCAGACTACGTTGTTCATGCCGAATGCACATAAATGATTACTGCTCCTCGTTTATCACGTGGAATCAGCTGCTAAAACGCGGTAATTCGATGCACGAAAGGAGATCGAAAGAAGACACCGTCTCACATCAGCTTACTGATGCCGGTTCAGCGCTGCCAGCGACGTGTCATTACTTGAACCGCCGTGGCGTCCATGTCCCACCGATCTAAGCCAAGCCCCGCACATCATTTCATCAAACCTATCGCTCTCTTTCTCTCCTTGCAGACGGCAAGTCAGACAAGAACGCCACTGTTACCGAACCAGACCGGTGTGCCAGCCCGCACCATGACAGGCGTCTTCGGCCCTCACCATGATGTGCGTCTTGTAGACTAGAGCGGCGCCCTCCCGCCGTTTTGTGATGAGAAGCATGCGCTCGAACAGGAACACGTGGCGGCGTATCCTGGCGCGTGGCATGCTGAAGGTCTCCTCGGCCAGCAGCTCTCCGTACGTGGTCAGGTCATCGCCCTACGCAGGAGAGCGCGAGCGGTAGTCGCCACTTGTTACGCGTGGATGGATCCATTCTCATCGGATCGTGCACATCAGCCCTGTTCTGGACACGTGTGCACATCGACAAATACTGAGGGGTAAGAGTCTGTCGTTTAAGCTGTAATATTTGCGACATTGACACTTCGTTATCCGCGGCATTTTGGCAGAGTTTCGGCCTTAGAAGTACTTTGGCCTGAGCCGTCGCAATTGTTGCGCATACACATACCAGAAACGGCGCGCATCAGATGAGGGTAGCGATTTGACCGTCTTGACCGTCAACACATGCAGCTTTGGGTGGGTGACCAGACAAGTTCCGCGCACTACCATTGGACAATAATTCACCCCAGTGATTTGCGGTGCGAATTACGACTCACATACTATCAGAGACGAGCTTCACTGTAAAAAACAATGTCAAATGGGTGGTCAAATGTAGCTTTGCATTATTGAGATTATCGTACTGTTTTCGAGACACCCTCCCCTTTCCTACGTTCACGACGGTTCACAGGGTTCAGGCAGAGCTCCAAACGGAAGACATAGTGCCATAAAATCGAGAATGAACATATAAATTCTGCTACCCGGCATGATTAAGCACCTCCTACTTGAGTTCTTATGGATTTATTAATCCGCCTTCTTCGACCGCTCAGCGTTTACCCAGCCATTTTTCTGCGACTTACAAGCAGCCACAAAAAATCGCACCTTGGTCTCGGTCGCCCGACATCTCACACCTGCCGTCCACTCACACCTGCCGCCACCAGCGTGTCTGCCCTGTTTTTATTGTTCGGTTCGTCCCCGGCCGCCGCAGAGCTTTGTCTGCCGCGCTGCCGGCCGCGGTCACGGTCGCCACCTCAGCGCCCGGCTATCTTATCGGCACGGACCGGGCCGGCCGGCCGGTCGCCTAATCTGTACTCGAGCCCCGACGTTAAACAGCGTCCTGCGGCTGCAGCGGCCATCGCCGCCGGAAAACGTGCCGTGGCAGGCGGCCGCCAGGTGTGGAGAGACTCGTGCGCGGGCCAACTGCCAGCGGCGCATAGGCTGCACGGGCACGGGCGTGGTCACCTGCACGGATGCTCTCTCCCAGTGAGGCAGCTCCGTTAAATTCATCGGAGTTGGAGGGCATAGGTAGATTTTGGAGAAAGAAGAGAAAACTATCATAACGGTACGGCCATTTTTAGGTCATTTCGAGTATCGTTGAGTGTTCTCACCTGCCAGTGTCGCATACGGCTCTGGATAAAATCTGTCGGTGTCGCATCATGCTCTGGATCTCACCTGCCAGTGTCGCATCAAGCTCTGGATCTCGTGCACGCGGACGGCATGCTCGTGCCGCCGCTTCATGTCGTTGATATAGCCGGCTAGTTCGGTCATCGTCCGCAGGGCGGCGCTGGTTGCCGCTCGGGCCTCCTCGGACAAGCTCGCGCTCTGCGACATCAGGTTCTGGGGATGGGCAGGGGGCGATATCAGACGTCAGCAAAGCTCGAACGACGCAAACTCAGACGTCGGAATCAAAGGGTCAAAGCGTGGAGTTGTGGTGTACATAAGTCAAGAAGCCTGTAATGCGGCGAGTCTCCATTTTCCTCGTGCATACGCTGCGTCTTGTGCTGTCAGCTCGGGTCAAAGTATTAAAGGCTTAGAAGATCCATCCGAGTGTACCGCCGTGCGCGCGCCGCCGGGCTCGTGCCCCGTATTGCTCGGTGTCTCTGTCCCTATGTAGGCTGGGCCTCGGGGGACGATCGCCCCATATAACCCTCTAATAATAATGTTGTATATAAAGTAATACCATTATGCATCATGCAGAAAGGGGCTCTGATCGAAACCAAACTGCTAAAAATGTAATGAGCACATTATCCCCAATATTTCTCCTCAGTCACTCCCCTGCCCCTTTCCTGGCTTCCTAGTGTATATCGATTACGATATTGGTTTCATTTCCCCGGTATCGATTTCATGCCTTTGCACCCCATTTCTGTTGCCTTGGAATACTGAATATATGCAACACAACATCTGCAACGCTGAAGTTGCGCAGAGCGAGCGCCCGTTTTGGACGTGCCGGACGCCCTGAGGATGTTCGAATCGCTCAGCAATCCAGCAGTCTTGACTAAGCCACTTGGGCTTTTGCCTGTGGACTGCTGATGCCCTAAACAAGCAAATAAACAAACAACAAGTTCGCATTGGAGACACTTTGCAACCCAGACATCTGGCTTCAAGAGCATTCCAAGGTGTGGGTATCTGCGTTATGTATGCTTTGTATCTACACAAGCTACGAGCGAATATTTTCGCGTGCACCCATGCATACACCCTGAGGGTCACCAATATGCTAATTAAGGCGCCTGTAGTTTGAACCACTTGCTAATGATCGACCATTGCTAATAAACACCAATGGCACGAACATTTATGCCTGCTACATTCAGCGTCACGACATGCGGTATGGAGACTCAGCCTTCACATCGCCGCACCGGTGCGGAAGATAAAAGGGAGATAATCCATTCGTGGCGTAAGTATTAAATTTCTGCACTTTATTACAATTGCCGTCAGAAAATGTCGATTACATTAGGAGGAAAAGCCGTATCTTAATAGTGCACCGATCCAAATTGTCGTCTCAGCATTTTGATGGCGCAACAAATGTGCGGTTTATAGAGCATTTGTGCAGCATAGCGGACTAGCACATTAAAACAACCGGAAGAAGGCTCAACCACATAACCTTTCAGTCTGAAGATTCCACCGCTGATGGTGTCCATTTCGAAGTCAAGGAAGCTGGCGCATAAAATGGAGTACGCGGTGACTTACATAAGACAGCTTTACCCGACTGACAAACAGAGACGGTAGGCAGTGTGCAGTATCACATTGTGGTGAAAGAAGTTGGCCATTTCGTCCTCCACTGCACAGCCATAAGTTCCTGTAGCGTTCGCTGGAAAAAAACGTTCCCAAGGCCATTTCGGCTAAACCAACTTGCTCTAGACAAAAGTTGAGATTATCATCATGCCGGTCCGCAATAATCTGGTCAGAAGACGGCTCCTTGGTATCATGCAGACCGTAATAATCTAGTCAGAATACGCCTCTTCGCCAGGAAGTCAAACAAAGCCCGCACAAAAGGCCGACAAAACCTCTAGTGACGCATAACAAAGGCACGAGACGTGAAGAGACAGAAAGCAGCGCGACATAGATGAACGCAGAGAGGCCCCCGAGGACAAAAACACCCAGACACTGGCCCGTCAAAGCGTGATGACGCCAATCCACGCTGGCTGCGACTTGCCTGCAGCAGCAGATGGTACTTGAGTATCCTCTGGACGGGCTTCAGCAGGTACGAGCCCAGCGGCAGCGTGTGGCCTAAGCCGCGCGTTCGCGGAGCGTCCGCCGTGAACTCGGTCCCTCGCCCGAGACCTCGAGAATATCATCAGGTAACGTCAGCACCGACGCGAGTCCTGAGAAACGCCTGACGTCAGGTCAGCGCGGAGACGGTCCTGAGAACGCACGTCATGTCAGCACGGAAACGGTCCTGAGGACGCACGTCATGTCAGGACGGAGACGGTCCTGAGGACGCACGTCACGTCAGGACGGAGACGGTCCTGAGAACACACGTCATGTCAGGACGGAGACGTCCTGAGAAACATACGTCAGGTCAGGACGGAGACGGTCCTGAGAACACACGTCATGTCAGGACGGAGACGGTCCTGAAACGCACGTCAGGTCAGCACGGAGACGGTCCTGAGAACGCACGTCAGGTCAGCACGGAGACGCTCCTGAGAACGCACGTCAGTGAGAACGCACGTCAGGTCAGCACGGAGCCGGGCTTGAGGACGCACGTCAGGTCAGCACGGAGGGGCTTGAGCCCGCACGTCGTCAGGTCAGCACGGAGCGGGCTGTTCTTTGAGAAACGCACGTCAGGTCCGCACGGAGACGGTCCTGAGGACGCACATCAGGTCAGCACGGAGACGGGCTAGAGGACACGGGTCAGGTCAGAATAGTCACGATTCTGAAACCCACGCCAAGGCTGCACGGACACGGTCCTGGAATGCATGTCAGGCCGTCGAACGCTTCTAATGGATAATTAGTCAAAGGTGAAACCACGTCAGCGAGTTATGCCCGTCCCTGACAGATACATGCTACAGCCTCAACCGCCACCCATCGGGGCAGAGTTCGGCATTCCTCGCCTCCGCTTCTCTCTCTCTCTCTCTCTCTCTCTCTCTCTCTCTCTCTCTCTCTCTCTCTCTCTCTCTCTCTCTCTCTCTCTCTCTCTCTCTCTCTCTCTCTCTCTTTCTCTCTCTCTCTCTCTCTCTCTCTCTCTCTCTATCTCTCTCTCTCTCTCGTCTCTCCTCTCTCTCTCTCTTCTCTCTCTCTCTCTCTCTCTCTCTCTCTCTCTTCTCTCTCTTCTCTCTCTCTCTCTCTCTCTCTCTCTTCTCTCTCTCTCTCTCTCTCTCTCTCTCTTCTCTCTTCTCTCTCTCTCTCTCTCTCTTCTCTCTCTCTCCTCTCTATCTCTCTCTCTCCTCTCTCTCTCTCTCTCTCTCTCTTCTCTCTCTCTCTCTCTCTCTCTCTCTCTCTTTCTCTCTCTCTCTCTCTCTCTCTCTCTCTCTCTCTCTCTCTCTCTCTCTCTCTCTCTCTCTCTCTCTCTCTCTCTCTCTCTCTCTCTCTCTCTCTCTCTCTCTCTCTCTCTCTCTCTCTCTCTCTCTCTCCTCTCTCTCTCTCTCTCTCTCTCTCTCTCTCTCTCTCTCTCTCTGAATTCAAGGCTCTCTCTCCCTCCCGCCTTTGTCGTGCTCTTGCGCTCCGGTGCTGTTAGCAGCCGGCTTTTCACTCAGCTCGGGACTAGCTGTATCCAATTACGTGGCGGGCCGGCGCCGTGGCTTGTGTAATCCAGCAGCTGGCGGTGACAAATCATAGGTCGGCCGCCGCAGCTGGCTGCAGATTCGCTAATCGCATTGCACCTGCCACTGGTGCATTCGGATGTGGCCGGGTGCGGAGATGGTGAGGGTGCTGACGATCAACCGCAGCCACGCACGCATCGGAGCGGAGAATTTGAGGTCGGATATCAAAAACTCCCTGGCATGCATGTTAAGAGTACAATTCACTTCAAGCCAGGTATATCCACATATCTAGCGCAAACCGCTTCAAACTGGACTACCGTCTTCAATCTTGAGTGGTCCGGACATGACAGTAACTACAGATGGCCTCCTACCGCCTGTCGTGGCTTCGACATGACAGTAACTAGAGTTGGCCTCCTGTCGCCTGTCATGGCTTCGACATGACAGTAACCAGAGCTGGCCTCTTGCCGCCTGTCGCGGCTTCGACGCGAACGACGGCTGGGTCACTGTGTGGTCTCCCAACTAGTGGGCCAAAACTGTCAATAAAGGTATTCGCTTGCTTGTATTGCACCAGACAAGGTAATCGTTTGCAATTCGAAGGAGGCGGTGTGGGGAAGTCAGCTAATCAGTGACCTGCCCGGTTTGAGCATGGTTTATGTTCACATTAACACTCAGAGAACTGCGTCCTAGCGCGATGACATCATGGTATGCATATCATTTGGAAAACCGGACCCGACCTTAACTGAACATCGAGTTCACATCAAAAAGTGGCTCCCTGAATCCGGTTCTTGTCCAGAACCAACGCTATTGGAGAAGACCTTGTAAGCTGTTGGGTGATTGAGAAGGCTTTCTCGTTTAGCTCCGACTTTCTTGGCACTGGGCTCGGGTCAGATGCCTTCATGTGGAAACTTCCTTCCGAGACAGACATTCATATATACATACACATACATACATATACATATATATATATATATATATATATATATATATATATATATATATATATATATATATAACTTCCAGCAAGGTATCGGACAGTTGGCATCATGCAGGGGGCTAGACGATCGAAACGATCCGAAAGATGCGCCAGCTCACCTCAGTTGACATTACCCATGTCCGCACCATGTCACCACCACATCACGTCACGCACGTTACCACCATGTCACCACTAACCTAGCCATAAAATGTGGTCGTCTCTGGCGTGACGCCGCTACGCCATGATTCCAATTTACAACTGCGCAGGAACAGGCCACTGAACCGGTTGCCATCCGCCCTCCGAGCCCCGGTCATGCTCATGAAGCTGCCACAAGTGTTGCGTGGGTCCACGGATGGCTGGCTCGCCCGGAGGACATGACTTGCCGCCGGTGCCCCCGCAGGTCCGTTCTGCCCCGCGGGGCGGCGCTCATGTCGGTGCGCGCCACGCTCTGTTTGAACCCACCGTTCCCACCCCGGAACAGTGAATTGGGGTCAGCTCCAGCACGGACCGCGCTGCGGCGGCCGGCCGACCGCAGCGCCGCCGGCAGCGTACGCTGCATAGTACGGAACGTCGGAACTCGAACGGAACACGCGACCTCCGCCAAACGCCGGCAGAACACCGGCCCACCTGTTCCAGAGCACGGGACCGCCAGTTCCAGAACGCTGGACTGCCTGTTCCAGAACGCCTGACTACCTGCCCGGGGTAACGGAACAACGCCGGGATCCGGTTTCCCGTTGCATCTTGGTGCAGAGCGAATCTAAGGCACGCTTACACTGCATGGAACGCTATGAGCACGAACACGTGATCACAAACGAACATCATCATGTTCCTTTCACGTTCCCAATGCTGCCGCGTGGATGGCGGGGGAAACTGGCCGCTGTAATCCCCAGCTCGGCTGCTATGAACAAGCTTAGCCGTCCGGTAAATGACAAAGAAAGAATAAAAGTTAATCAGCTCTTTTTCCCGGGATCGGGGTGGGTAACAAACGGAAGTGTTGGTCGTTATGGGAGCATTGTCGCCACAACGGCGGACCGTGACCTCGGTATTGATCACCGATCAAGCCTGGTCCATTGTTCCAAACCTTACTAGACTTGCCGCATGAACAGTTTCTCAGCCAGACACAAACAAACTCGCTGCGCACCGTATTAATAAGTTTCGTATCGCGATCTTTCTGTCGGCCAGGAGTTTGCTCTTCACGATGCCTTGCATGTTCCAGCCCATTTGACTGCTGTGGAAGACCGGGCAAACCCGAAAGCATTGTAGTTGTTCAAATTTGTTGACGGTGAAAGGCTATTGCGAAGATAGCTTTCCGTTCCTCCCAAAAAAGCACAGGCGTTAACAGTTGTTTGTCACAAATGCATGACCAGCAGTCCCGTCCCCGGATGTCAAGCGGCGCGTGCACGGCATCGGGTCAGGGGCACGCTAGGCCCGCCGGCGGTGCCGCCGCAGCAGCGGCTCCCGCGCACCTCACACCGTCGCCACAGCTGCCGCGATGCCGCGCCGCGACCCCGCCCAATACGATCGCGTTCTGCCAGAGCGCGGCTGTGCCCCGGGGCAGGGTGTCCCTACGGTGGCCGCTGAGCCCCTACGTGGAGCCCCCGCCGCGTGTCATGGGCGAGGGAAGCCGCTTAAGACTGGGGACTGGGTATGCTTCGGACTCTTTTTTAATCAGGTTGCCTGCCGTGCATAACGCTACGTTAACGCTGCATCCTCTCACAGTGCGTGCGTGTGGGGGAGGGGGGACAAGTCATCGAACCTGCCCTCCCCTTCCCCTGCTTTCAGCGCCCCTGCCGCGCTGCTTATGTGCATAGCCCCGCAGGTAAGGACCCTCGCGGGAGGGAGTAGTGGACGTGTGCCGTGTGGTGACGCCACGCGTCGCCGGCCACCTCAGGGGGGGGGGGGGGTGAGTGAGAGACACCACCTCGCACTGGGGCCGCCGCCGGTCGCTGTCCGGCGTCTAATGGCCCCGATTGGCCTGGGGCTGCCCCCCCCCCCCCCCCCCCCGACACCGTGAGAACGCTCCCAGCCGGGCGAAGAGGCGGCAGTGCTGGCCACCGACGGCATCGGCGATGCCGCAGGCCGCCGGAAACGGCAGTCGCTGGCACGGAAGAGGTGCTTGTGCTTGCGGCATTGCCACTTGTGAGTGCCTTGTTTTCTTCTTGTTCTACATCGCATTGCCCTGTAACGTTATCAGCCATGTGGCACTGGATGCGAAGAAAACATTTGGTGCCTGAGTGATCAGAGCAGCATAGGACCGCTCAGTTTTTTCTCCCTTCAATGATTGTCCTGAGACATCAGTGTCTTGAAAATAAACGCTCAGGCGATACGGGTGACGATACCTGGTAACCAATTCGCAATACCTGATATCCTCTAATCTGCTGCGGATCGCCGAAGGGAGCTCCGGGCATATTCGCACCCCGTGGGGCGATATGTTACTTCGCGTCGAGTCCCAAATCGGAGGGCGATGCGCTCCCTCGTGTCGGGTTACACATTCAGTGATGTCTTTCCTCGCTTTTCCCCGGATTCCATGGTTTCCACCTAAAACTAACCTGACTCCTCGACAACGAGATAATAAAATGGATGCTAGTGCTGCGCCTTGCGTCGCACTGGCAATTGTATTTCAGGATGGGGATCTGCATGTACACGTACAGCCTTCACAGGATGGTGACCTGATGTGATCCTGGTGGCAGTTTTCCAAATACACAGAGGTGAATATAGCTGGCTGTTAGCCAGACTACTTGTCACGCTATCGTGGCTTCTTGGCTGCCGCTCAGAGAAAACTGGCTGGCGGGGCACCCCGCCCGGGTTGTCTGCGTCATCGGCGTCACTCAGAGCGCCGGGCGCTCGTTCCACACTCGGCTCCGAGCCCGGACTCAGATGGCCGGGCGCTCGTTCCACACTCGGCTCCGAGCCCGGGCGCGATGCGGGCGAGCGTGTCGGGAAAGCCACCCACGTGACCGGTGATCTGATAGCCCGTGCACCTTTCGCGCCGCTGCCACCCAGCCGCTGGCCACAATCAGAGCGGCCGCTGCCGCTAATGAGGCCGAAACGAGACGTCACGTGACTAGAGGGCTCAGTCCCGTGACCGGTGCGACCGGCTCGGACGAAGGGATTGCCCGAATCGGCGTGGCACTCCGACAAAGGCTTGGTTGAATGGGAAGTGAGCAGTGCTGCATTCCAGATCCGCCCTGATTCATCAGGACGGAGGTCATCGCATACTTGTATCACGCCCCCGGAAGCTCCACAGATTTCATGCGGCAAGCGCCAGATGTGAACGGCTACCTGACTTGTTTGTTTGCATCTCATCGATACAGGGCTTCCGGCACTTCCACAAGCAAGCCTCGAGGGCCTCCGAACGTCTGATACTTTTTGGCAGTCTTCGTCAGCCGTCGAACCAGCGTCGTTTATCAGAAGATTGGTATGCAGGCAAACGTGAATAGTGCATATCGCAACTCGATCCAGCAGCCTGTTAACTTTGAATGGAAATATGCGATATCTTTATCATTTATGGCTAATGGATAAGGCTATTGTTCTTTCGCCTTGAATAACGCGGCCTGCAACCGGAAATGGGACGCCGCGGTGGCATCGGAAGCCGTGGATTAACCGTTTACAAGTCGCGGCAATTTAGCCAATTTCAGGATGAAGGTTTCTCTGTACCCCAATCTTCAAGTCGTATTTGCATTGTGATTTATTTTGTGTTTTCAGCAAACACAGGCAAAGGTAGCGCACTGTTTAACGGTTAAATTTATGTATCGGGCATGCGATCATCGTCAGTGTCCGGTTCAAATGATGAACGCTAACGATATCAATTTGGCTGATGGTTTTGTGGGGCTCGATATATCATTTATTCGATTCGTCCAAATCGCTAGAGTAAACAATGAACCTATGACGGAAAGCAGGCAGAACAGGGTGAGAGGTGATGATACACGGTTTTTGTCTAGTCAGGGCCATGAAAACCGTCCGTTCACGGCAGCTGTGTTAAATAAGAACGCCGCTCCGCAGCCTCGCGCATTACGCCTGTTGCTGCGGCTTCAAGAAATCCGTATTTTTATTGCAACGAGCTGAATGAACGACGACTGTTGGCGTTATTTAGCGCCACTTTTTCACCTCACTAAACGGTGAAAATGATTCGTTTGCTTTCGAAACAGCCGACCTAGCTGCGATGGGCGCTCCGTCGGTTTCTCCGATCAAGCTTTTCACCATCCAATTAGCCGTGTGCTCTGTTGCGAGCGAATGGATTCACACAAAGCATGCATGTCGACAGCGTCGGGTTGACCGGTAATGATGATCGACCAGCTCTGTACGCCCAACCCACTGCCCGCTCCGTGACGGCCGACCGGCGCACGCCGCTACTGAAGCCGGAATGGCCGCAGGCTGATCTGGGAAAACTCACCTCACGCGGCGTGGGCGTGAGAATCACAGGTCGTGCTGTGGTGTCTTCCTGGCGCCGGGGGAAATTAAAGGCCCTGTCCGCACCGGTTCGGTCCAGTTTTGTCGGTACGGTGGTGGAATGCTGATGAGCGAACGTGATGCACGCGAGATGTGCCAGTTTGGGTGCAAGATTGTCACAATGCGCTGAAAAGATCGCCCTGAGAACGAAAATAGATCAGTCGTGACCGCAATGTATCTGTTCGGCCTGACGCGTGACCGCTCTCTTTCCATGGGCGCGAAAACAGACGACATAGAAAGGGGTTTCTCCTGTCGCTCCCGCTATTTCACGCCTTCTCATAAGAACTGGTCCAGGCAGGTCGGAGTGGTGGACAGCAGAGTGGTCCCGGCTAAATGGATCTTAAATAGACGGCGAGATTGCAGCAGCATTTGACGCAAACGTGTGTGCTTGTTCAGCTCGGGTAAATAGCACACTTGCTGATTGCTGGGATTTCCAATTCCACTAGATGTAACGGCGCGAAGTGGCAGCACGTTGCACCTGTGGTAGTTACTGTTGCATTGAGGTTTTCCGGATAAAGGTGTCAAGATTGAATATGTTCTCAGCAATTAGTGCGGTGAATAAACGAACTCGGTCTGGCACAGCGCTCCGCCGTGCCCAGTAAATTAAACAGATATAGCAGAAGAGTGAAAATCTGCATTTAAGCCAAAAGGCTGTGAGCTACTGGTTCTTCGCCATAATAAGTGCAGACTTCTAGAACCTTCAAGATAATTGCTCTTGTGCGGCATGCTGCTTGTTACGCGCGTTCTCGATTTTCTGTGACATCAGAAGTCGTGAAAAGGTGAAGAAAACAACGACGTGTGTGAAGGCGACGATGACCCGTCTTGACGGGTATGCCCATGACCTTGACAAGCATGGCCAGCAGCCGGTGGTAGCGGTCCCGCTTAAGGTCAGGTGATGTCTGAAAACAGAACGGACCGTGCCGAGCATCGCGATTCGTCAAACTTTCGTCACCAAATTCTGCCGTTGATCTGAAATTGCGCAGTCGGATGGTAGGGGCCAGGGTCCACTTAACAAGCCCTGCTGAGCATGAGCTCCGATCCCAGAAATTTATCCATTCAAAAACCAGAGGGGTTTAGGTCTTAACGGCACGGCTGTGAACTGCACCGAATGGCCTTGAAGACAGCTTTTTGTGTTCAAAGTTCCATACAACGTGGGACACTCCCTTTGATGAACACAATGAAGACACACATTTACGAAGAGCGTTTAAACCGCTCGAGGAACACAGATAAAACGGCAAGCAGCAATGGAGCACAGCGCAACGAATATCAACTTTGAAAAAAGCAACAGCAAACGACAACGCGGACCTCAAGGTATCAGAATATCTGTACATACGTAGCCTTCGTCTGAGACTGAACATGAACGTCGTCATGAGACCTAGTTTGAGCTTCTTTTTTTTGGTAATGTTCGTTTAGAAATGGTTCATTTTATATTTGGATGGACACTGATTGGCAAATCCCTCCTCGGTGCGCGGCATCGAAATCTTTCTAATTAGCCGCCTCGGCTTTGAGCAGCCTTTAGCACAGTTCCGTACACTGAGTATAAGGACATGAGAGAATAAATAGCCAGACTCTTCGTGTTGTTCTTGTAATGTTCATGATGCGTGATAATCGGGGTAAGTATTTTTCCACACGGATGTAATTCTTGCTCGGACTGTTGTCCTACTCTGGTGTGTTAGCATGCACATGACGTTTCAGCCAGTTGACTGCCCAGCCATCGTCAGGTGTTATGGAGTTGTTAGGGCTGGATGACGTTTCACTTCATAACGCTTGGCGACAGCCGGAGGATTAGCTGGCCGAAACATTGAATACATACTAACATGCCAAATGTTGTATACATACTAACACGCCAAACGAGGACAATGGTATTATTAATTATTGCATTCGTGATACTAATACGTCGCCTCAGTCTTTCTGTAAAACTATAATCATCTAACCTTGTAACCGGTACGGGTCACCGTAACTTCCGGCTTAGCAGCCTGTGTTTTGTGCAGCCATTAGCGCACCTAGTACCGTGCATCGATATTAGTGTGACAGCACGAATGATGGCCTATTTTGATATCTTCTTGATCGTAGTAACTGCAGATATTTCCAGCATTTCCTGGCTTCACGTGTATGAGTTTTTAAATGGCGCTTTTTTATTAATCCTGCGTTTTTCGACGCCACGAGTAAATTTTTAAATATCTAATAATGACGATACAGCAAATATTTGCTTGACAATATAGTTTAACCAGGCCCTCCCAGTATGCTGAAGGTCGATAACTGTCATCATAAGAACTCTTAATTAATGATAAACAAATGAACACACAAAAATGCATGTGGCAAAACACAACATACCAGTACATAAAATCAACATATATACGTACATATGTATACAAATAAATATATATATATATATATATATATATATATATATATATATATATATATGAATGTTTGCAGTTATAATGACACAGTGCACAGTACCGCCGCACGTACCTTGGGTAGTTAGTGCAGTAGTCTGTGTACACGGCGAATTGGCCCTGGTGGCTCACGAAACACTCAGCCACCATCAGCGGATCCAAACCGCACGGCTCCAGAGCACACAGGAACTCCCTAAAACAGAACAGAAACATTGTGCTAGTGAAACCGTACAACGGTAACACGTACGGAGCAGTGTTAAATGTGGCGATGTTGATAACTTCCGGATTATTCTGGATTGGCTGCAGTCGCTAAGAAAAAGCAACAGATGATTGCCCCACTTGAAATACTTGTAAACTTATCATCATATCCTGAGAAAAACTAGCATAAATAGAATTACAAGCGCGTGCATGCCTGCTTCGCTGCGCTAAGTTGAAAGCACAGAAAATTTAGGATTATGCATGTTTCGCAGTTGGATTCACGCTTCTGGCTGCTCTAGTTGCCGAAATATGGCGCAAAATGCGAATAACCCTCGGAAGTGGCTAAATTCATCTTGTTTGTTCATGCACGCGTGACACACAGCTCGTGTGACTTGACAATTAATGTCGCGTAATTGTCTCTCCGATTCCCTATCACGGCATACCGCTCCCCAATGACTCCGTGCCTTTGGTGCTGAGATGTGGCACAACACTTTTAAACCTGTCAAAAATGTGAGATTCATTACTGCTGGAGTGTGTGGGTGTGGCACACAAACCTTGTGTGCGGAAACGTGGAAACACAAGATTGGCCGTTTAATTCCTTATCACGGTAAAACCAGTTCCGTGTGGCTACATGCCCCGAGTGCGGAAATGTGGCGTAAAATGTAAAAACAGACGGAATCAGCAAAGTGCATCTTTACAGCTTGCGTATACCTGGAACGCGGCAAGTGCGACAATATGTCTCACACCGCATGATTGTCCGCTTGAGTGCTTATCGAAGCATGTTATTCTTGAGTCACTTTGTGCTCTGGGTGCCGAGATATCGCAAAAACGTTCAAGCCCGTCGAAATCTGCCAACTAAATATTTCAGCAAATGTGCACCATGATACATGGTCTGTGTTACAGTAAACTTGGATCACCCAATGGCTCGTTCCACTTAATACTGACCCATGCCACTCACGAATCACTTCGCACCCTCTGCCCCGAGACGTGGTGCGAAGCGCGAAAATGGGTGCAAGCCAAAAAAATCCATCTTGCCAGCACGTGTGCGCGTGACACATGGTGCGTGGACGATACCATTTGGCAGGGCACACTTGTACATTCGATGCTCTATCAAAGCGTGGTACTCTCGGGTTGCTTCGAGTCCTGGGTGCCGAGATATCGCAAAAACATGTTAAACTCGTCGAAAAGCTAAGTCTTTAGCTTTACACGTGGGCACCATGACACGTGACACGTGTGACCACTCGTTATCATCTTGTCCGTTTCATTCGTTATCAAAGCGTGCCACCCCCCGGTGTGTCCGTGTCCTGGGTGCCGAGATCTGGCACAAAACGCGTAAACTCGTGCAAGAGAGCAAAATCCACTTTTGAGCACGTGCCATGTCATACATGCGACCGCACCGTTTCGCATGGCACATCTTTTCACGCCACTCCTGGGTCGCTCCGACCCGCCGTTATCGTGATATTGGTGCGGAAAGGTATAATCGGTCGGAGGCAGTCAAATACGGCGGTATGTTACGTGGGTGTCACGTGTTAAGCTGCCGGGAGACGGGGCAGCGCCGGTCCGTCGTGGCGTAAAACATCCGTCGAGCACTCCATTCCCCTTCGCTCATTTGCGAGCGGAATATTGCAAAACGTGATCAGCAATAGGGCGGCAAAGCGACAGAATTCATTGGTTAACACGCTGATGTAGTTTTCAACACTGTTTTATGAACAGTTTTGACGGTAGAGGCTTGTATTAGGCGTCGAATTTTAAAACTGTGCCGCCTGCAACTTGTCTTGCAATTTGCAGAGTAACCGTGCGTTGCACTAACACGAAGCGGGCGCTGATATTGTGGCCGCGGCAATTGTTAATGTTAAAAAACCAAACCCGTGCCTGTGCTCGCACTGGGTGCCGAGCCGTGACTCGAAACGTAAAAACCTGTCGAAAGCGGTCAACTTTATCTTTCCAACACATGTGCATGTGCCACGTGCGGCGTGGCACCACAAACGTGCCACCAATGGTTTATCTAGCCGCGCAACTTTCGTGGGGTTGCGACCCTTATCAAGATATGGCTCCAGAAACGCCTGCGTGTCGGGCCGTCGGCCGGTACTTGTGTGGCCCACGTTAAGCGTATGAAAATTTTGCGACCTATATGCGCTCATCACGCGCTTATTTTTGAGAAATGCAAAATTATTTTTAGACATAGACGCATCCTGCCGGCAGCCCTTGGTGGTGTGAAAATCTTACTGAACATTCCTGACCTTTAGCCCCTGCATGATCTCAAAAAATCGGTGGCGGACACACACACACACACATTGTTCCTTTAGTATAATAGATTTTTCAGCTCTTAAGCAGGCGTGGGCGGTATTTCAATGTAATCCCAACATCCCAACAGCTGCTAATTCACAGTTCGCAGCTAATATCTCAAGATGCATTTAACGCCACAGCTATGAGACCCAGAGGCCCTCGTCGCGGCCTGATCACAGTCCACTGTCATTCCCAGGCGGGGCGGCGCTCGCCGCCGTCGTCCGTTGCCAAGCCATCTGCTGCACAATGACATCACAAAGTGTGATTTGTTGGCTGAGTGCTGCATGACTTCATCTCGTGCGAAATAGTCCTCCTCACAGATTGCAAACTGTCCCCTTATTTGCGGCAGGATTGAAGCGGGCAAATAAACTCAGTTTGCTGTGACAGATACGATGACCTTGGCTGAAACTGCTGAGTGGACTCGCACTGCACGCGCGCGCGGACGCGCTCACGGTACTGCACGCTGATAGCTCCTGACACTTGACTTGACAGCGTCGATGGCGCAGTTCAAAATTATATTTGACGCGTGAGTTTGCACCGACTGGTCACAATAAGTTCGTCACCTCTAATTGCAGAAATCGGAAGGTGTGCTCCTCCTAACCGAAAGAGAGCCTCAGAACCAACAAAAAGACCAGGGGTCAAAAGACTATGACGAGCAAGGGTCGCGGCAATGAGACAAGCTCAGCCCCGATAGAGAGAGAACCCTGGTCCTGGCCCCCACCGTCAGCATCCATTACTAGCAGAGCGCATTACGTGCAAGACGTGCATAGCCGAAATAACCATGACGACGTCTGTGTCGGCGTCACTCACCTGTTACAGCGGTAGATGACCTGGTAGTCTCCAAACAGTAACTCTGTGTGCTCTTCCGTGATGAAAGGCTTCGGGTTTTCCCGCCAGTAGAGCAGATAGCCCTGCGGATGGTCCGCACGGGTCAGGTCGGGTCAGGCACACGGTCCACACGGGGTCAGCGGGTCGGTGGTGGCTTCATTAGCGCAACGGTCTGTGGTTTATGGGACAAACAACAAAGCACGAAGTTTTCCGAAGAGGCGTGCTATTTTAGTCATTTGGAAGGCTGGTTTACAGTTGACAGCACACATATCTCGAGCGCCACATGCAGCAGCCCAGCTTCCAGCTCCTGGCCGTTTCACCACCTCATTCGTCACTGGGGCTTTACGACGCACTCAGCTGCTGGGCCTGTGTGGCGTCACCAGTCTCTCATCCTAGCACGAGTGGCGGGTGAGACGGAACTGAACCCCGTACCTCTGGTTTCCCAGATGCGCAGCACTTGACGCGGACGCGTTAACCCCTATCCTATCGGCACCCGTTCGTAGCTTTCGCAAGGATTCCCAGTTGGAGGGGAAGGGGGGGGGGGGCGAGCGCGGCCGTTGTCCTGTGGTGAACACCGAACCCCAGCTGCCATCGGTTTATTATTGTTTATTTAGGACATAAGCATTCCACAGGCAAAAGCCCAATTACGGAAGCAACCGAATTTTAAAAACTATAAATATACGACGCACACGCACGCACGCACGCACGCACGCACACACACACGCACCACACAACACACCACACACACACACACACACACACACACACACACACACACACACACACACACACACACACACACACACACACACACACACACACACACACACACACACACACACACACACACACACACACACACACACACACACACACACACAACACACACACACACACACACACACCACACACACACACACACACACACCACACACACACACACACACACACACACACACACACACACACACATTACACAATCGCACATCAAGTCACTAAGGGAATGCTCCACGTGCCGGCGAACCTAAACAAATCAGATGGGAACGATTTTGATGGATGAAAAAGTAAGTTGAGGGAGACTGCTGCAAAAAATGGATTGCATACAGTGTGTAGTCACGCGACAAGTCCGTTTTTAACAATGTTGGCGCTTGCAAATGGCTTATGGAAAAGGCCGATATGCCGAGAACGCCGGACGGGTGTAGCCAGTGTGAACAGTGATGTCAGGTGAGCGCAGTCGAGCCTGTGATGATATACGTTGCATAGAAACAAGATGTCAGACTGAGTAAAACTTGCCTTGGTAGATGCTGTTTTGAAGAAAGCGAGAAGATGCTCATAATCCAGTGGACACTGTGACTGGCTACTCGAGCCCCACCACATGAGAAACCGGTGTTACAGTCTTTCGAACCGGGCGAGATGGAAAACGGCAGCACCGCTCCAAACAACGCTACCGTACTCTATCAATGATTTCACATGTGCGTTGAAAGCACAAAGCAAAGTCTTGCGTATGAATCGCGGTTGGTGGGAGCATGACGACATTTCCGCGGTTGGCATGAGAAGGCCTAGCATTCCTGTTTGCTTTTGAGACATTTGAATGTGTGATTGGCAAAGGTGAGTGGTGTCCATGAAGACGCCAAGATCGCGAATCTGCTGGCAGCTATCCAAGCGGTGACCGTCTAGTGCGTATGAGTAGTGAACATGTGACGTGCGGAGGGCGAATGAGACTTAGCACTTAGCTGGGTTCAGTTTCAGTACCTAGTTTTTGGACCATTCCCAGAGGTGATCCAAATCAGTCTGAAGTGTAAGGCAGCCTGCTACGTTGTCGATTCGGTGATAAATTTTGATATCACCAGCGTACATAAGGCACTCACTGTCAATTTGGTCAGGAAAGGAACATCAGCCAGAAAGCAGGCGAACAGCAACGGTCCTAGGATGCTGCCTTCCGGGACACCAGATCGCACTGGAATCCAGTCAGACTGCTTGCCGTTCAGCACTACGCGTTGTGAACGATTGCTAAGTACGACTTCAGCCAGCTGTACGCGCGGCCAGTGATGCAAAAAGAATAGCGAAGCTCGTGTAGCAGAAGAAGGTGATTCTCCCTGATAAATGCTGAGGAGTAATCATTGTAAGATGCATCTGTTTGTTAACCTTTTGAAGTAGATGTCCAGCAGGGTTCAAGAAAACATGAAAGGTTTGTGGTGCAAGAGCGCTTTGGAAGGAATCCGTGCTGGGATGAGGGAAGGGCGGGCGGACGAACCTGTAGCAGGCTACCGCTCACAATTTTCTCCAATATTATTGAGCAGGTAGAAAGCAAAGACACGACCTGTAATTTTCAGGCAGCTTTTTAGACCCCTTCTTGTGCACCGGTATCACAACCGCTTGCTTCCACATGGCAGGAAAGAGGCCTGAGTTTAGAGAAAGCTTGCATATTATTTCTAACGGAACACCTAGTTCCTCAGCACATTCCCTGAGAACTTGGGCACTTAGCCCGTCAGGACCGCAGGCCTTGTGTGCACTGAGATCGCGTAACAAGTGTACTGTATGGGCATGTGGTACGGCAAAGCTGTCTTACTCCAGGCGCATCGAGCAAAGGAGGGTCAGGCAACATACTAGCGTCAGGGTCGCAGAACTTACGAGCAAAACACATATTCAGACAGTTGGCACGCTCCTCATCACCCTTGTATCCATTGCCATCACACTTAAGAGCGGGAGATATGTGCACTGATGGCTTGAAGGACTTAACAAAGAACCAATAACGTTTTGGGTTGTCTTTAAGTCTCGCACTAGACCCAACAAATACTCGCGATATTTAGCATCAGATGCCTGTTTTGAAGTCGGCTCTAGCAGTACGGTGCCTAGCAATATCTTCGGCAGTAGGAGGTCTGCAGTGGCGGCGAATACAAGATCATAGAACAGGTGGTCAGCATCATCAACGCTTAAATCATTTAGAATACGCCAAGTAATAAGCCCGAAAGCAGTTGAAGCCAACCACACCTCTCACTAGTAACCCCGGAAAAACAGCCCCAATCCTCGCGACCGCCGCACCGGGAGCCAGCGGCCGCTGCCACCGGCCCACCGGTGACGTGTCCTGGCTTCGGTCCCGTTGACGCGTTCGCACCCCCGGTGACCCCGGCCGGGTCATGGTACCGGGGTCGTGACCCGGATGGAGGGCCGCTCCAGCCTGACCGCAGTCCGCTGGGCGCGGAGGGCGGCGCCGGCCAGCGGCGCGGCGCGTGGTGTGAATGGACGCAGACCCGGCGGCCCGTGACCTCTTCATGGGCGGAGCCCGGGACAGAGCGTGGACCACAGGTGACGGACCGTGTGAGGCGGTGCTGGGTGGCATCCGGTGGAGTAGTGCTATGTCTGGCAGCGTCGCCAGGTTCACATGAAAAACGCAAGTAACGAATGATCCGCGCTTCATAGGTTTTTTAATGCAGCGCAGTTCAAAACTGCCGAGCCTCATGTCACGACCCAATATTTTTGTGACAGATCGTTGCGGAAGGATGGTATTGTTATAGGCCCCGATAATCGATGGCGGTGTATCTTTACTCCGATACTTTTTACTGGGATAATGTGCATTGAAAACGTTTAAAACAGCATCAACAGCAGTGCGGTAAGGATCTGGCCTAGTGGCAGAGACGTGACCCTACTGCCAGTGCAAGTATCATAGCATGCAACATAGGGAATGTCGCGTTCGGGTCACCGTGCTGAATGGAAATGGACTGTTATCAGGTTGTCATGCAATTTAGAATTGAACCCAGGCAGGGGCACTTCCGTGCGACGTGAATCACATTGTATGCCGTAACTATACGTTCTCGACTTGATCAAACTTGGGAACAAAGCACCTATGGCTCGTGCTTAAAAATGCACGCACACGTAAAGGTAAGGTACGTTTACGCATACGGAAACACTCAAAAATGGTTCATGCCAGTTCAAACACCAGTTCGCTGATTTAGAGGGTGGTGTACTTTACTCCGCTCGCCCCCGCCGCGTGCCGTCCCTGGGTAGACCATCCAGTCAGCTGACGTGCCGCCGCAGCAGCCACAGCTACCGCGAGGGTGCTGTGACGCTCACGATCACAAATACCAAATACAACGTGCCAAACCATAACTAAGCAGTGATTGCGAAAGGTCCATATTGCAAACCAGTGTGCCGCCACTGATGGCTATTTCCCCCATTTTGGTTGGCAATGACTCGGTACCATAAAGCAACATCAAGCCAAAAAACATCCAAAGACAATTTTCAACTTTCTACATCGCTTCTGTGGGGGCCTAAAACCGATTTTCCGTCCAACATGTGAATACAATAAGCAGTGATGTTTTTGTATTGTAATGACCTCAGATCTATGACATATGCCAGCTGCAGAATGTCCGCGACCATCTACAGGACAGCCTTTCTCTAGCTGCCGACTACGCCTTCAGTCAGAACGAATGGCTCAGAGACCATCTGAGGGAGGTGTTCTAGAATGGTCGCCGGTCGGCCGCCACGCCACGCACGTGAGCTCGGTCGAGGCCACCATCAGATACCTCGCGCCCGTCAAACCTGATCACATCGGCTTCCGACATGGCCCCAAACGCTGACCCACGCACCGCAAACCCAATGTCAAAACCTCGAGCTGTGAGCCATATCAGTGAACCAGCTCCATCAGTCGTTTATTTGGGCTTGGGATCGAAAACCTCGAGCTGTGAGCCCTATCGGAGAACCAGCTCCATCAGTCGTTTATTTGGGCTTGGGATCGCATATCTGCCTGGTGGTCAGCGGGCGCTACCAGGCTTTCAAGCAGACATGGAAGGTGTTTGTGAGTGAACGGCGAAGCTGCGGGCGTTACCAGGCTCCCAAGCAGACATGGAAGGTGTTTGCGTGTGAACGGCGAGGCTGCGGGCGTTATTGGGCTCTTCAGCAGACATGGAAGGTGAACGGCGAAGCTGCGGGCGTTATTGGGCTCTTCAGCAGACGTAGAGGGTGTTTGTGAGTGAACGGCGAAGCTGCGGGCGTTACTGGGCTCTTCAGCAGACATGGAAGGTGTTTGGATGTAAACGGCAAAGCTGTCATCACGCAGCATAGCAGAACAGACTATCCCCTCTGT